CACACACACACACACACACACACACACACGCATGCACACAAACACACACATACACAAAGATAATAAAACGATTTAATGCCCTATTTCATCTAAGATAGACGTTAACGCAGAGATCTCGTCGTTTCTGGTGAGAGCGTTTTCATAAATGACTTCACAAGTCTTGTTACTATATCGTGTATTAGTGTATTTATTATAACGTGGAAAATTAAACTGTCTTAAAAATAACCAAAGCGGAATGGACACATAGGTTAAATGACAGCAGAAGCCAATCGCACTTAGTCAGACAAATTATTCTCACTTTGTACGTCATAACCTCTCTATTTTTTACTGTGATTTTCACCCTGAGGTGAGGTCTTGTTCCAGGGGAAGCTGAGCTGTCAGAATGGCATTATTCATTGAAACGGGATGTAAGATGTCGGACCTCACTCCGATATCGTCTCGGCTTTGATCGTTAGAGTGATATCTTAATAGAAAGTGTTATGTTTCGAGCTGAACCGTCATGATGCTTTTGTATCATTCGAAGTTAGGATTGCAGAAAATGCCGCTGGGATTTCGAGAAAGAATTTCTTTTCTAGTACCCCTGTACAGCCTGGTTTCAAGGTTATTGAAATAATCAAAAGCCATGCACTTACGCGCTGATCAATTGATAGATGACGTTTGCTCTGTATGAAAACTGTTTCGTCTAAGTCGAACGTCATCATCATACATTGGTGTTTTTACCACTATAAAACCTTGAGAATGCAATCATTAGTCTCTCAAACGAAACAACACTATCAAATATAATGTTAAAATCATGACCCCCCCACATATTAAAATAACTATTTCGGTTTAATACTGATTTAATTACACATTCATGTAGTAGAACATCATAAGACAGTTGATTTTTTTTGTAGCGTTATTATTTTCTCAGTCACTTTTGTTTCATTCAAGAATACATAAACTCTCTTTCTCATGCACGTGAGTGTTACTCCGCGTACACATTTAACGAGATCGGTTTTGTGAATACCATAACATAGAGAAAAAGCAGATACAACTGAAACAAAATCGACTCCAAATTCTGGTTTCATACAACGCCCCCAGCCAACGTCTAGCCTCTTGTCCCTAACATGCACTGAAGAAACAGCAATAGCTCAAGGTACCTCGTTTCCCAGAACAGAGGCAATAACGGACGACGGCGGCGAGGGTTAGTAGAGTCATTTTTGGTGTCCATCTTTAAATGTATTCATGGACTCGTTTCTTCTGATTACATTCCGCCTTGATTAACCTCCAACCAGAACATTTTTCAGCGAAATCCTAGCTAAGATATCATCAGTCAATGCAAATAGCAAGCCTTCATTAAAGCACGGAAGCTAAGAATACGTCTTCTTGAGGGATATCGAAGTCGCTCACGTCTGCCTCTTGCTTACAGCTCAGAGCCACTTGATTGAGATCGGGCGCTGCTGAATATTGCCCATGTCTGAGTTATTTGCTCCGGAGTTCCGCAGGGAAGCAGGGCACATCATCCGAAATCTATATTTATGTATACGTTTATGTGTGTTAATGCGTGTCTGAGGATGTGAGTATGTGCTCTCGCGCAAACGCGTTTGTGTGTATTCGTGTTTGTGTGGGTGTGTTTGTATGTGTGTGTGTGTGTGTGTGTGCATGCGTGCGTGTTAGTGTGTGTCTGCATGTGTGTATGTGTGTGTGTGTGTGT